AGAATTTTGATTAGCACACCTTTTAGCAAGAATAGATCGTGTTTTTTCAAATTGAGAACACAAATTTAAATCGCTTGAATTTTTTTCATGAGACAAGGTTCGTTCATCACTGTTTAAAGCACAATCTGGAGATAAGTTGGTCACAGAGACGCGAATCCGTTGTCGCCAAAACCAACTGTATAAAATTTTAATTAATCAGTAGTCTCGTAGCGTTAAGATAAAAAATAATGCTTACCTAAAATGACCCTCAAGTAAGGAATTCACCGTCTTATGAATGTTCGTAGAACATTTTCTTGGAAGACACAAATAACCTTCAGAGCTAAAGTAGTATTGATTTTGTACGGTAATATGCGCATATGAAGGCAACGGGCAAGATTGGGCTTACCATAGTGGATCGGTGTTGAGCCCAACAATAGGCTTACTTGATTGCAAGATTTTGCTTGCGGCCAAAAGGAATGTACCATCACCTCCGGCTGAAAATACGAAATCAGCCCAATTTACTGCATCATATGTATACTCGTCCCTTGAAACACTACGGAGCTCTAGTCCATGCTGCCTGTACAAGGATAGTATAAGGATAACAAAAAGGAATACTGAGGGAGACGCGAATGGCATCAATATATACCTCAATGCTTCTTCGAGCTCCATTAGCCTACGTTTATGCTCCATATGCCTAGTATAGAGCCAATCATAGTTTGATCCCTTCCTAATCAACTTTAAAAATCATAATAATTTAATTAAATAATACAAGGGTCCGAAGTTCATTATCTGCAATATTCGGCCTGATTGATCTCTCATAATCAAGACGAGTTATCTTAGTGAGAATAAGGACCCTCCTAAGATTTAACGATATAAGTTGATGAGAATAACGAGCTGAATTAACAGTGCCAGGAATTTGTAGACGAAAGAATTTAATTGTGAGCTTATGAATTAATGAGTTTTTCATATCTGAATATAATACTTATAAAAAAAAGAGAGCCAATATCGATAGGCAAGCATAGCCTCGCATGAGGGCAGGGAAAGAAATTAAGTAGCGCGGTCGTCCGTGCAAACAAGCACAAGCATAATTGCTTTTGTCTTGGCATAATTGAGGACAATCATTTGATAAAATACTAAAACTAAGACTTCAATTATTCAGTATAATAAATGAAAGGTATTTAATTTTAAATAGACAAAATAATTTGCTCAAGTTTTCCATAATATAACTTATCATAACAGATGTGCATTATGGTAATATCATGAAATTGCCACTTACCAGACTATAATGGACTTGTTTTATATATCTTCAGGATAAATAAGCAAACGATAACGTGTGAAGCGGTTTACCTTATAAAATGTCCTCTCTCATTAAAAAAATTCATTTAATTTATTGTGTATGCCTAAGATAACTGGCATTGCCGTTCAAACCTAGTATGCTAGGAAGAGATAATATTATTTTTAACGAATAGAGTTTTCTCATCATTCATGCATTTGCTTATTTTTAGTATGCCTTCTCGAATTGCAGGTTTTTCATACCCAACATTCCTTCATGGATTATTCAACCAATGCAAATGATA